AAACTATGATGAAATTTCATTACAAAATTTAGTATTTTTTTACTAAGCTTTTCGAATTATTTTACAATCAGTTACGATTTCCATAGTCATTAACATAAAAGCAACTGAGTGGCATTCAAAAACATCGAAAATATCGGGAAAAAATGCAATTAACCCATGTGAATTTCTTATTCTAATTTGCAGCTGCAGAATTGTATTTCGCTACAAAATAAAACTGGTAAGAAGAATATAATTGATTAATCCAACTGACTTTTGAATTAGGCGGAAGTCAGAAGCAGCCATGCTCTGGTGTTCGAAAATTCGCTGTCGAAATTTGACTTCCAGAAAATATATCTGAAAATAAACTACTACTTTTGTTTAGAACACACGTGAAATTTATTTTCGTTTTTACTAATAATGAAGGTAATTAAGCCATATCTGTGCTTTAATTCTCATTACATATATTCGCTCAGACCACACATTGTGCAAATTAAAAATATGTAACTTACAAAAATGCTTAATACAATTGCAAAATTAGTGAACGTTTACTACAATTTTAAGTACCCTATTCAAGAACAGCGTCCCGAGTAAAAACCGGTAGTTTTAATTTTGAATCATGTTTGATTATATTGTTTAATATATTATTAATAATCCTAACTTAAATATAATATTTCTGAAGAGTCTGAAATATTGAAAAGTAATAAATGTATGAAATTTGAAGATTTGCTTAATATTCTGATCATGGAAAAAAAATCCCGTGATGGAAAATTGAAAGAAGGGGGAAAATAGTGTTAATTTATCATTTAATACTTAGGTAACATTGCGCAACTATTATTTATATTAATTGTTATATAATAGAATACAAATTTTGACATATTTTGATAATTTTCAGAATGTGATAACACTTACCAGCGGCCCAGCGGATAACTCCACTGAACACTAGTAGTTACACTTGAGTTCACATGCCTGCGAAATGCCTGGAAATATGGGCATTTTCAGAATTTTTCTCATGTATAACTTGAATATGAACCATTTTCCTTTAGTAAGCCGTCACCAGTGCGCCAGCGGTAATGTCTTTGAAGTTGGTAGTTCAATCTAGGTTCGAATACTGGAGAACGTGCCAGCTGCAAAGGCTTTTCGTGGTTTACTTAGTGGATAAAAAACCTTTTCCTTAGAAAACTCTCCGTGAAGGCGTACCTTCCCTTAGACAGACAGCCCTAGTGTGTTTTGTCATAATGATCAGTCCAACTCAATCCAGAACGTGACAGAAAGATATGAAGCAAACAAAATGAGAATCTTCGATTTGTAAAAACACGCAACATGTACGAAAGGCAGTGAAATTCATTGCGATGGAATGAATTTTTCTTCCATTACTTCGCACTAAAACTATCAGCGGTAAGCGCAAGTTTCTGTACAAAACGGCCGACAATTTAAGAATTAATACAGCAACTTGACTTACACTACTTCTCTCCTGAAGCAGCAATTCGTTTTTGCAACATTCAAAATCGTTAAACGAAAATGTTTTTTTTTTTTTTGATGGATGGACTCTAATAATACAGAACAAACGTGCTTCATGTATTTAATAATGGCACTGATTTTTCGTTAATTCTCCCTCTCCCCTTTTACTTTTTCCGATCCCTCACCATTTTTATTTCCTTGTGAAGAATGGGTTCACAGTTCAACTTTTATTGGGTGCCAGCTCCCGTGCGAAGTGTTAATACCTACAAAAATTATGGGGTTAAGATAATACATTTATTTCTCTTTCTCTTCCCGAAAAGCCGCGAGATTAAATGTTTCGGGTCTCTGTGTTTATGTCATTAATGCCGTAAATTCTATTATTTTCGAAAGACATTGCCTATAACGCATTACATCACATAAACCAATTATTCCATACAGAATGCATTAATTTTCTTGGGAGTGTTTTAATAGGAACAAAGTGATATTTCGACATTCCTTTAACAAACCCTGAATCATCCGTATTTGCAATAATGAAGAATGGGTCACAGTTAAAATCATGAAATTGCTTATAGTTATGAATCATAATGATTTTTGAAAATTCTTGTGAATAAGTCACTGAAATAACAAATAATAATTAAATAAAATGCTTTATATTTTGCTTACTTCCTGGTTTCTTTTACTGAAAGTATGATACACGGCAATGTATTTCAAATTTTATTTACTCCCACACAATAACATTTTTTCTTTAAGTTGAACCCTATCATTTTCATAAAAACAAATGCTAAAAGAAGGGTACAAAATACATTAATGTTGCTCCTGTACTATGTAAAAAATCATTTTGACTGTGACATCCAGATTTGCGGTAAATGAAAGTCAACCCACATATAGCTGGTATGTAGCAATACAGTAAATTTAGATTAAAGTTTGAATTAGAATCAAAATAAACTAGTTTGGTTACCATCAAATTTGTGCTCACTGATGACCTACAGATAGATGGCTATTTTCAGTCAACCCATTTGTTACAGGATGCTTAAGTGTCGCAAATTTATATAGATTTAAAAATTTTAAATTAAACTTTATAATTCTAGATCCAGTAAAGTTACTGGTCACCGGTGATATACAGGTTGATGGTCATTTGCAGGTCAATCCATGCATTACTAATCAAGGAAAGAGCAATAAATATAGATAGATTTTAAAATTGAAACAAAATCGAAGGATAGAGGCTAACTTCAAAGCCCAGGTTGGGCTTTTCAAGGTCCTAATTTAATCACGGGTGACCTGCTTGCTTCAAGTTAGCTACTTGGTATAAAATCATATGTTAATGATGCGTGTTGGTGCAGTAAATTTAAATGGATATTTAAATTAAGGTTAAAAGGCATCACACACAGTGGTGTCTGTGATGCCTTTTACCGCCGGTGACCTATACTTTGAGGATAGATTTAGTCAACCTATGAGTCTCCTGTGATGAAAAAGTTAGTAATTTTTAAAATATTAAAAAATTAAAATTAAATCGAAGAATACCAATGGCATACAAATTGTAGGCCACTTCGATTTCAATTAATGGATGGCCAGTGTTACAGCAGTGTCGTACTTTAGACAACTGAAGAACACAAATGATTGTCAAAACTGTTAGTGACCTAAGGGTTTTTAAATTAAAATTAAATCGAAGGACACTGGTGCCCATCAAAGTTATTGGTTACTAATGACTTTAAAATTGACAGTCGCTGGTTACCAGTGTGGTATTCAGACGATTCAGATTGAAGGACACTGTAACCCTTGAAGACTGTTGGTCATCGGCCATTTAGCAGTCACCTTTCGGTAACGTACATGCACGGTAACCGAAGGACACTAATGACTACCACAACCGTTATACCACGCATTTTGGAGGTACTATTGTATTAATATGTGTGTATGTTTTTAATTATTCTTGTTTACACGCACACTCACATTTACAAATAGTACCCAGATGGTGCTATCTTTGGGTCTCGGCATGCATTTGTCTTCCCTTTCCCAGGGGCTAAAAAACGAGTCATTATAACAATTAGAGGAGATAAGTTTAAATGAAATGCAGCAAAAAAATGTGTGTAATATAATAGGCCATACAGATGGTGTACACATCAGATTTATCCTTCAGCTCGAAGACTCGCTAGTAGATAGAAAACGACTAAATAATAGCTTATATTAGGCTTGAAACTAATACGAGGACTGTAGATTTTACTTAAATTAATTTTTATTTTGAATGCAGTTAATACAAAAATAATTGTGGAATTTTCGGTACTTTTCCGTTTCTCCGGCGCAAATCTCGCCAAGCAGACTTTATTGGCGACAACATACAATACACACATAAAAAATATTTTAAAAAAAATGTTAATTCTTCAACTCGTACGAATAGCTTACTCAGAAATTATGTAAAACTGCAGTGCTTTACTTCGCTAATGCATTTTCATTAGAATTTAACCCTTGACTTTACCTTTTTTGTATTTTCGGCTTCGGGTAAGCGCTGTGATTGCATCCTAATTGACGTAATTACCGAAAATGGCCTTACATAAAACTGAACTATCTGATAAAAATTCTATGTAATTATATGCCAGTATTGAAAGAAACAATCAATCTGATAAGAAAAAGCTGCGACTTGTGTTGAAAATGAGGCGTAAAAGGTTACCAGCGAGAATATTCCGTTTGGCATCGGTGGTACCATTATTGGCGACTTTATCGCTTGCGCCGGCAAAACGGAAAAGTACCGAATTTTCTTCTTCCAAATAATAAAAACTATATTTTAAGCTAATAGAAATCAGAAAATATTTGTTAACTTAGGTAAGTGAAACAAAATATTAACTTTGATGAGTGTTGAGTCATTTTAAAGCATAAGGTTAAAAAAAAATTTCAGCTTAAACGCTTAAAAATAATTGTCAATAAGGATAGTATCGAGTTTTCTTTTAAATCTATGCATAAATAGTCAGAGAATTAAGTAAATTCTGCAGTTCGGACCAAAATAATGTCTGAAATCTCTTTAATGAGTTAACGATTCAAGTATCCATAAAAAATATAATTTCCTTTAAACTATTTCTTACATAATTCATTTTTCATCTATTTGTCATTTCTTTGCATTAATCACAACAACTTAGTTTAATAACATAAGTTTAATTACTGAACATTATATATGTTTATTGTTTAGATCCCTCATGACAAAAGAACTGGAATAACTTAAAAAATCACATCATGGTGCATAATAAAATTAAAAATTATCTCACTAAAAGCGCTTATTGCGTCAAAACATATTTAGCTATTTCTCCGAAGAAGATCACAAGGTAAAACTGTTTTATTATCACTTATTTTATACACTATTTTAATAGAGCAAATTTTTTGTTTGTAAATTAAACATCCTTTTTAAAATATTATGAATTTATTAGTATGTTATTCTACATTCCATGCGCACAAAGACTTCCATGGAAACATTAGTGTAATTACTTCTACAGCAGTCGTACCAGTTACATATTTCGCAATTTGAAAAACATTCATAATACTTAAGATAACATAAAAATACAATAAAAGATTATTTTCACCTCTTCGGAAATGAAACTTTCTACTGGCTTCTAGATATAATATGCGTAAGATATACTTTCAGCCAAATTGACAGAACTTCACAAAAAGTGGAGCTTGGTTTGTTGCCAAAAATTTTCTGAAACAAAAATAAAATTAAATAGCACGCTTTACATGAATGTTTTTTAACAGTAGCATATAACAAACTAATACAGTTTCATGTACTTTTACCATAAATATATATAGCTATATATATATATAGTATATATATATATATATATAAAACTTAATACGGTTATTTACTAACACTTTCTTTTTCTTAAAACAAATTTTGTGAGTTGTTTCATATTCAACCTAGATGAGTTCCTGTTTCATAGCAATTGCTTTAAGCTTAGGTATACTTGGTGCTAAATTCGGTGGATTATGGGTAGTAATAACGTGTGAGACGTCATTTCCGATAGCAAGGAATGAAGATCTGCGTTCTGCCTTAAACCTGGACTCTACGGACACGGACGAAATTCTGGGTGACCTAATAATAAGAGGGAGTTCAACCAAGTTGACTTCATCAATGTTGTTGGTTTCTTAAAGAACCCATTGAATTTTGGTCAAAAGCTTCGTAATGCTTATGAAAGTTTTCTCAGTGTAAATCCTGGCGTGGATTGTATTTCTTACTGCATCTTCGTAGAAGGGTAGGTCAAAGAAATTGAGGCCAAGTTCAACAATCTAAAGGGTAAAAGCGAAAATTATAGAGCACATAGTCTTTCTACTGTTGATTCTGATGTTATTCGTAATTTTTATTGTAATGATACTACTAATGGCTTAAATATATATTTCTGTTAACGTTAATGAATCTAGTAGTGGATCTAAATGTGCTAATGATTCTAATGAGGCTTCTAAAGATGTCCTTTTTTCTGATCTAATTAAATATGATGTTGATTCAGCTAACCCTAGCATTTCTGCAAATGTTAATCAAAATACGAAACACCGCACCCAGGAAAACACCACCTGCTCAAATGGATATACTTCCCCACGGAAGACCACCCGATCACAAAAAATCTTTAAAAATGTGATTGATATATTTCCTTTTTCAAAAATTAAGTTAAAGTTAATGTAACGCTGTAAAAATTACTTTTTTTTCAACTTAATTATTATTTAACACTTCAAGGCTAATCAAAGTTCCTGCGTGGAACATATTGGCAAATTTATTTCTCAGACATTACATCATTAAAGTTCGGCTTGTACTAAATAAAAGACAAAATTATTATAGATGCATATGTCAAACAATATTGTGTACAGTGTAATATCTTGCTATTTAACAAATAACTATATTTATTATTGAAGTGGCAACGCCATATTTGTATGATGTAACCGTTACTCAGCAACGTAAGAAATTGTTTAAAATTAGAATTCTGAAGTTTTACCAGCTAGGAGATGCATGAAAAATTTGTAACTAAAAGACTGTATTCAAATTATCTATCTCCGTAAACTAAAAACAAAATTTATGTTTTACTAAGATTATCTGTTATTTTGCCAATTACTGCAAAATACATTACAACAGCATGTTTTCATGGAATACAATGTTTTCCACTTTTTTGCCACTGTTTTATTCGTATGTTCCCAGAATCATTATTTTACTTTTTATAATCATATGACTAATAGGTTTAAAAATTAATTGAAAGTTTCTGAGAGTGTTTTAAATTGTAATAGACGTAGCTCTCCTAAAATTGTGCTTAAACCATATACGATATCGACCACACTCCAGATATTCCCAAAATTATATCCAGTTTTGCTTTACGTACTTATTAAATTTTTATGTGAGTGGCTTATAATTTGCTGTTGTGCGTAAAGAACCTACGCACGTTTTCATTGTTTTCGTTTTCGAAATACGTAGACAAAAAATAAATGAATCAAATATTGTTCGTAAACAATAAAAAATTATATATAAGATTTAATTCTCACACTGAAGAAAATATGAATTTTTGCAGTTAGGGTAGCACTGAACTTAAATGTACCCAGAGGATTTCTAATTATTTGCTAGTATCGAACATAAAAGGTTTAAAATTCAAACAGTTCCCACTCACAGACCAATGCATGTATTTTATGAATTCTTAAAAACTATTTACAGTGATTCTCATTCACAGTAATTCATGCATGAAACACATGCATTTGATTTTAGACACCAACTTTTATGTCGGTGTGTATGTGTGCAACTTTGTTGGTTATGTTTGACACAAACTTTTATGTAAGTGCTTACTTGATCAATAAGCTATTTCGACAACTCGAAATTCGATTAACTGACAATAAAATTCTCGTTATATTAGAATAATAGTTATAATTTTTTAATTTATTTCACAGTTTGAAATATTTTTCTGAAAGAAAATAAGTTATTTCATTGTGTATTATTAAAAACATGCTGCTGGAAATGTAAAAGTTAATCCACCAATGGCCGGAAAAGCAAAAGTTAATCCACCAATGAGCATTCTTAATTTTCATTCTGCATTATATGAAATATTCTAGATACCATTAATGAACTCATTTCTGCAGAAATGTTAATAATTAATTTGGGGAGAATGATGTATGAAATTACAGCCTTGAGCTGTTTCTGACGATAATAAGAACTGGATCCCTTGAAATATATTTAATTTCACTAAACCCAAAAATAAAAATTTTGAACTACCTTAAAAAGAGGAAAAGTATCATATGTTACGAAACACTTAAAAATTCAGAAAACAGTAGTACACATGAAATAATTCGTAAACGCACATTGATATCACTACTGAAGGAGGGGCTTTTAAAACGGACCAAAGGGCTTCCAGTATCATTTTCTGTTGTGTCACATGATTTTTGCCGCACTTAAAGCAACATAATTGGAAATGTTTTGCTACTTAATTTGTTCTACAGAATAATTGAAACATCCTGAATTTCAATTTAAAATTATCAATGTGAGATTTTATGAAATAATTGCGAAGATTTTACTGCATGGTTAAAAAAAATTGAACGGAATACAAATACATGTTGAATAACGCGGAGAACTTCGAAACGTTAAAAAAAAAAAAAAAAAACAGGTTTCGAATATTCAGCATCACAACAGTAGTAGCCCATTGATCTGTACTCGAAGGTCGGTTGCGATATCGATATGCATTTAAGAATAATGCGTGATCAAACCTCAAATTACAGCTTACTGCTTTCACAAGCCATTAAAGTTCCAGAAAGTTAAAAAAATATTCATAAAAACATAAAAGTCACAAGATAAAGATATGCAATCGGATTTTGATGTGCTGGCTTCATTTCAACACCTGAAACAATTTTAAGCTGAGCAATTACAATAGGTCCATTAAATAAAAATTCTTCATATGGGCACTACAGGACGTTTTTGCACGGCTAATGCACATATTTTTTTTCTGCACTTCATTTAAACGTATTTTCTCGAATTTCATTAAAGATATATTTCTCACTCAATCAGTTCAGTTCTCACTTCGCGGCAAAGCAAGAAAATATAAAAACTCAAAACATCGTCATTAAAAATTGCCAAATACACAAAAACGTAAAGCACCAAATGCAGTTAAAAATATTTAAAGAAAAACAACTTTTGAAATTAAAAAACTCCAGTTTTTAACGCCAGAACAAGCTATCCGGCCAACACGCTGAAAGACAAAAATTTGGGTGCACAAACATTATAAATAAACTCTGGTCCCATTGCGCAAAAAGATACTGAACTTGGTGCACCAACTGCTTAATTCACCATATTGCTAAGAGCTTCAAATTAAACAAATAGCCTTTACACATTAAGTTGGTGTATTTAATTATGGCAAAGCATACGAGGGCTATCTGCCTAAGGGGAGGGATGCCTTCGTGGAGGACTTTCTAAGGGAAACTGGCTGGTATACACGTTACACATGGGGAAACCACGAAAACGCCCATGCAGCCAGCCCGTTCGCGGGATTCGAACCTCGGACCGAACTACCAGTGTTCAGCGACTTTACCGCTCGGTCGCTGTTGGGCCGTTTACGCATTAGGACTAGTGGTACTTAAACTTCCGAATTGTTGATAATTCTAAAATAATTGTATGCAGAATAAACAAGGCATAAAAATCTTACTCAGAACATAAGAACAACATAATTTTTACTTACTTTTAAAGCAAAAAAATGCAAAATTTACCAATATATAAGAATAAAAAAACTGAGCTCACCAAGCCGAGTAACAGGGTAGGAATATATATATCCGCCGCACAAAACGTATGCGTATATAGTATATATATAAAAAAAGTGCTTCCAAGTCCTGAAGTCCCATATACAAAATTTCAAAGTTCTACGGCTACCCGTTTTGGGGTTATGCGAGATACATGCATATGTACGTAGGTAGAGAGGTAAACAAAATCTGTGTTGTAAATGCATTTTAATCTTTCGTAAAAGAGAGTCCTTTATTCTGCCCGTCCGTACAGATGTCACGCAGAAAAGTCGTTCAACTACATTCGAGAGCAGTCAAAGTGTATATTTTTACTGAAATATGATACCCGAAATTTTTCGCGATTATGATACTTCCTTTACTTCGTATAATGAAGTAAAAACAGAACTCACCGAACCGAGTAAAAAGAAAGGATATATATTTATATATATAGATTTGATGCGGCCGACTGGAATAAAAAAGGGGAGTTGTAGAGCTAGATGATATAGCATTCCCATATACAAAATTTCAACATTCTACGTCTAATCGTTTTTGAATTATGCGATATACATACGTACGTACGTAGTATAGATGTCAGGGAATAAAATCTCTTCTGAATCTATTCTAGAATCTATTTTGGAAAAAAAAAAGAGTTTTTTATTCTTTCTATACGTACAGATATTACACAAAAAAATCGTTCAAATGGATTCGAGAGCGGTAAAAATAGATATTTTCTTTGAAATATGATAACGAAAATTTTTGGGGATTGCGATACTTGTTTATTTCGTACAAGGAGCTAAAATGAGCTCCCCCAAAATTAAAGATATAAAACAAAAAAAATCTTATACTTAATGAGTCAGCAATTAAAACTTGCAAAGCGTTTTATTGGTAGGAAAACTTCCTTTGATGCTATTCAATAGTAAATTAATGCTACATGGAGATACGCGTAATTTTTTGATAAAGACAAAATTAAATTTTTCA